TTGAAAAATCTGGTATTGCGTTGACAAATTATACTCTTCAGATAAACTATTCTCCGAGCTTGAGTCTCAGGGGGAACTACATAGCTCACTGGGAGGCAGGTAAATCCAGCCGACGAGTCCTGAATAGGATGAAACGCGTGTAACGGATCCAGTTATTAGTCACTTTCCATCACTAATATATATTCGAAAGTTGTAGAACGTAATAACTGCTTCAACTTATTTACATTTACAACACTCACGTTCAAGTTTAATTTGTAAACTGGTTACCGGGCTGTTTTTGTGTGTTACTGATTTCACATTAATTTACGCACATAAACCTATAGAATTTTTTCAGACACTATGAGCAGTCATCCAATAGGAACTCAACCACTGGAGTTCTTTAAGATAAAATGCGGCAGTCTAAGTGGTTAGAAGCTGTACATGATTGGCTTAGTTAAACACTCAAAACAAGAGATTTTAAGTTTACTTAGACGGATAATGAATTTTGTCAATGGGGATCATTCTTTTCAGGTTACAGGAGACTACTGTGAATAAACCTAAACGTTATGGAGTATAAATCAGGGTTCTGGTTGTATCTGAGACTATACTTAAATACTGTTGGCTTGCACTGTTTCCAGTGTTTACTTAGTAGAATGATTGATGAACTTCTTTAAAACAATCATTAGAATTCTCGTGAGAGTCGTTTTACCATAAGCCATCTGTTCTGGATATCAGTCCACACTCTAGATAGGAAGCATTATCATTCCACAAACAATACATGGCGGGTTATCAACCATCCAGTTCACCTTGTGATTTGAAATCCCACAGTCCGTTTATCTTGGGTAGTTTCCTAAAGTCATAATTATAGATTGCTGAATTCTTACTCTTATGTTCTCAGAGTAATTTTTATTACTGAATTCCAATTGAAATTCTTCAAAATATGCATAAGTCAGACTTCACAAACGCTTTGTCTGTATTATAGGTGAGTGTCTCGAATTATCTTCATGTTCAAACAACGAGACAAGTGCTTAGCTTTCTTCTGAACAACATACGACAAACTTCGTAATGAATCTTTAATCCAGTTTTAAATGCTGCTATGTTGTGTGAGCTTTAGACTAGCAGCTCTGTGATTCAATGAAATGCAGAACACTGAGATACAGAAATTTCAATTCCTCAATTACCGTGAATATAAAATTTACCGAGCATTACTGTTTTTTAATTTGAAGAATAAGATTCGAAATAATGATGCATTAATGTTGACCAGACTTACTGAATGCGCAAAATATATTTGTCTTATGAGTTATTGAAACCTCAGGGGGAAGTTTATAGATAATGGTTCCATCGGTCGACCAAACTACCTATCAGTTAATATAGTAAAGATAGCCAAATCTCGTTTAATATACATCTGATCCACAATTAAATTGGTATCAAAGAATTTTAGAACTCATTTATTCTGTTAGTTAGTTTTCGCATGCTCATCATGGCATACTGTTTAAAGCACTGCTATTCTATACTTTGTTATACAATCAGCAAACACAAACACGAGGATTTGTACAAGTAATCCAGTCAGATTTGGTTTAGGATAAGAAGTCCTGATTGGGCAACCAGTGTGAGCGCGATTGAGTGAGAGTAACATGTCAAGAATTCACATGGTAGTCGGGCCAAACCCTTGGTGATTAAAGTGAAGTAATAATTTGGTCAGCAGTCGGACCTTGTAACTCAGTTAGTAGAGCACTCAGCCCGAAATAATTTGATGCTTACTGTTGTCCATCATGTAAAATGAATTGTTAATTCCTACTGCAACGCCAAATATTACCCGCATCGATTTTGTACATAGTACTAAAAACATTATGATACCATACTTTGGGAGGTAAATTTCACTGAGCCGATTCATTCTAAGACCATGATGTCTAAATGTGATTTATCCCATTCCACTAACTGGAGCTATGTGTAAACACCTTTTAGTTTCTGAAGTTATTAAAATGAATCTTATTCTGCTACTGATAAATAAAGGAAGTGAAAGGCATTGAAGCTTTGCTTCTGATGCTATCTGTACAATTAATTATCTTAATTCGGATGATTCAAACTGTATAACTCTTTAAGATGACGTTATTTAGACATACCTTTGATGAAACAACCATCTAGCGTTTAAGAAACTTTGATCTGCCTTGCAAAACTTGGTGCTAATAAGTGTGATTGTTATCTCATTGCAGAGGATTACAGTGCTGACTGTCCAGTTAAGCCTAATGATATAATAGTCCCTGTTAAAGGAAGTCGAATTGCTTTTTGTTGATGTCTGTGAATAATTTTCAAAATTCTTGCTCAAATAAGAATAATCCTAAGGTTTTTATTTTCTTTATCAGCATTTCCAAGGTCAATGAGGGATGATGTTTTCATGTATGTGTTGCATAAATGTATGCAGCCTCGACGAAGGTCACATAGAAATTGTTTTGAAACTATGCGCTTGATCACTTATACGTAAATTAATAATCAATTTAAAAAAGTTGACTCTTATTCTTTGCTCCTTAACTGCCAACATTCATTGAAGCTTAGACGTCTGTATAGCTTTTCCGTTTCTAAATCAACTTTTTCTCAATAAGATTCTAATTTTTCTATTTTAGCTGGAAAACAAACATTTACAAAGGGAATATTCAACTAAAGGCAATAAGAAGAAATATTCTCTTTATTAATAAGCCTCAAGCAAATGAAATTAAGATGTAATGGTTACGATCATTGTTTTAAAGGAATAAATCAATAGGACAATAATTCAAAACCTTTCCCTAGTCAATTTTTTGGTACATATAGTGCTGAATTTTGTGTTGTTGGAAAAGAATGGCTTCAAGCTCAAAAGGCAACTCAATGAAATGTATCAAACCCAATAAACCAAAGAAAATAAAAGACGTTAAGTCTAAGCGGCCACCTGGACCGTATGCTCTATTTGTTCAATCAAGAAAAAGTTTATATCGTGGTAAAATAAGTGAATTTGCCAAAACATGTGCAAGTGAATGGCGTAAGCTTTCACAAGTAGAACGTGATAAATTTAAGCAAAATCAGTCAAATTAGGTAGGCATATTCAGAAGTCTCCATCAAATTATATAAAATTTGTTAATTCAACATATGACTGCTTGAGAAGAAAGCACCAAGACTGGACATCAAGAGAAATACATGAACAATTGATGAAAAATTATAAAAAAATAAAATGTAGCTGCAATAAGAAGAAAGAAAGAAGAAAGTAAATTAATGTACTGAGACAAAGAAGGAGCGAACAAACGTGTGAATGTCTCCAGCTGTGTATAGGCACTTGTATCTCTCTGTCTATAAGCGGAAGGATAAAATGAAATTTTTCACAGATGACGCTGAAGTCTGTTGGCTCAGTGTATAGTAAGTAATAAAGTTAACGTATTATGTAAAGACACCCGTTTTACTTCCTGGCTGGGTTTTGCGTGACAAAGGAAACCAGTGGTGGCAGACTTTAGATGATATGACTTCGAAACAATCTCAGTGGAAAAAATGCATTCCTTCATAATCTTCATCTTCACTGTTATACTAAATTCTAGTACTGCTTCGTTCCTCCTTGATCGATTATCATGACTTTCCACCACTATTAACCTCACTCTTCTTTACTTCTCTACTTCTTGGTTCGATCCATTCTCGCTTGGTATGGTATGGTTACGTGGAATGTTACTCAGTAATCCCAGGTGACTTATTGATTTTTACTGACTAACTTCCCCCTTATCCAGCCAAAGTGTGAATATTCGGAGTATTGTAGTTACTAGTTTTTAAGTTTACTGGATCGAACTGATCAAGCTGTCCTGATGTCAGTGCTTGCTACGTGGCGACCATAATAATGTTGTGATTCCCATCTTTTTAAAATAGCTAAAAATGACCCCATGGATTTCACTGACCAGATGAACCTACACATCAGTGTATAGTATTCCCACTAAGAATTAAATGTAGTACTCATCGCTTTAAATGCTAGATCAGTAGACTGCTGACTACTGCGTAGCAGGAATTGGTTGAGCTGAGTTGGATTTTAAGGGAAAAACCAGCAATGGATTCCTGGTAAGTTCAGCCGATTCGCCTCAAACAAGAAAGAAGAGGAAATGTTGACTTTGCCACAGGCCATCAACAAATAAATAACATCAAAAATCGGCCGAAGTTCATGGCACTTTTCAACAGGTAAGTCAAAGATAGAGAAATTGATAGTTGTAAGGGATGTTGTAAGTGATGTCTTGATAAATTCTCAGCATATGAATGTACTCAGCATAGCAGTGATGGTTTAAAATTGCTATATGATTAGAATTTGAACACTACACTAGTACCTGGTTAATCTCAGCTTCTTCCATAGCCATATGAAGACGTTATTTTGTACTCAAGATATCTACCTACTGTTTATTATTATCACTATCACCAATATTGTAAATTTTGATCGGTATTCAGCGGACACCACAATATCCACCTCAACTAAGAACTAACAAATGGTAAGAAAAAATGTAGTTGTATCAAGAAAGCTTTCACTACCTTTGCATTGTTGTTCGAACAAAAGACAATGAAACGACAACATGACTATCATTCTGTTCAGTTATGTGTCACATTTGATACTGTTGAAATCTATTGCATTGACTCGACACTACTCTCCATTGAATGGCAGCATCACAAGACGATTTGAAGTACGTAAAGTGGGGAAGAATTCTCCGTATATCTTGTGTGCAGTGAAAAATATCCATCTGTTTTTTTGAGCATAGTTTTGACCGATTAGTCTACTTTCGAAATCTATTTCTTTTACTAATTTACCCTTAGTTCTATGAAATTTTACTCTGTAATAGTACAAACGTTTTTTTCTACATACTCTTGATATTAGGATTAAGGATTTACGTTGTTCTCCTCGCATATTATTTATACAAACCAGTCACACCATAATTATCCTTATCGTCTGGTATTGATATCTTGTTACCTGAGTGACAAGAGTCTTTTGAGTTTCCTAGACGAAAGAACCACCTACTAAAAAAAAACGATAACAACCATTTGTGTTAGTCAGTGAACAGAAAAAAAGGTACCAGTAACTATGTAAGTCAAAATGGTATCGAATTGCTTGGATAAGTACTTTGTTATGCATCTGTCTTAAACTGAAAAATCTAAACCTGGCCATTTGCTAAGGCTGAGGCAGGATAATAGCTCAGTTTAAAGTTAAGAAGTAAACTTTAAACACTAAAGGTGCTGAAATACATGCTATAGTTTAATTGCATGAACAATTAGCAAAATGCAAAATTAGTGTAACCTACGGTAAGTATATCACTCAAGTACTAACCACACAACTGTGTCTTAACTTTTAATTTCCCATCGCTCATTGAGCTGAGTCTATCGGCTACAATTGAAGTCTGGTCTCCTGTATGCAGACTCGTGCATATACATATGGTTGTGAACAGATGGCTATTAGGACATTTGTACTCTTTGAAAACTTTTAGTGAGAATTGTAAGCTGGCATGGTTACAGCAGTCATATCACAGCAGATGGATTTTTGATGAACTCCAACTTGGTGTTAGGTACTGTACAATTCACTTGTGATTAAGGAATTACTGTTGAAGAACTGTCTTTATTGGATTACACGATGAAACGTGACCAGGATGCGTATTCAAGCACCGCAATTTACAGGAAACTTTCACATTGAAGTTGATGTCTTGTAACTTAGTTTTATTATCTTATATTATTAAACGCAAGCATCGTGAAATTCTTAGGTAGAAGAGTTAAAAAAATAATCACTAAGACATCTATGACAAGAAATAGAATTTTTTAACTGAATCTATTTGCTAGATCGCACTATGAGTAATGCTGAAAACACCATGGACAGAGAATGCAAAAAACTCCAATACACAAGGCAGAGGTTTCAGAAACGTTACCTCGTATTCTCAGAAGGGCTGTGAGCGTGCTGACATTTAAAACAAAGAATTCAACAAAAAGCTTTGTGAGTTGAAAGATCTTGTGGAATCTACTGAACACAATTAGTGTGAAAAACTTTATTTTCTGTGATTAACACTAGGCAAAAATAAATCCTGAGAAGTCTCGTAAGTTAGAACGAAGCAGCTATCTAACCCTCTTAGACTCCGAACTGTTTTTCAGCTGATATGAATTCAAGACGAAAATTACTCTCAAATCAATAAATCCTTACTAACCATAAACTGAGCACATCTTTTAAGGGTGGTCTTCTGACATTCCTCATTTTTTAAGCAATCAGACATCATTCTCACCTATGAAAATACCATGCTGAACTGAACAACCATTTTTCGCTGTTTCGTTTATGTACCAATATTGAGATCTCACGAAATCTATATTATATGCAAAGCTTACTCATTTTAGGATTGCTACCAAAATTTGATCGGTATAAAACGTGTCCTTGCCAAATTCATGGAAATGATTGTGAAGTCAAATGCGTTTGACAAATTAGTCCATTTGTGATGATTTGGTTACTTAGGCACAAAATCTCAGTTAAGTAGAGAATGCTGGACAGTGATAAGGTAGTGTTCGACAAAAGAACTCTGTTAAGACTACCAGTAAAATATTGTCCCACCACACAGTAGTATGGGATAAAATGACTACATCCGAATTTTTCACCGGGTGCTCAAAAATTACATCCGCTTGTATACTGCATGCACACTGATAGGATACGCACATATATATACATACTGTATCTGCATATGCACACGTACGTTACGCATACGTATATATAGCAGCGCTGGGGCTCCTAGCCTGGTAGCCATATAGCAAACTGATCGACAGAATTCGATCATCACCTAAGACTGGACAATTTGAAGTTGGTTACCTTGTCGAGCTCTGAAATCTGACTCCAAATTTTATATACGTGTCCAGATACACTATCGCCTATTTATAATTCCCGACACTGCTGATCCACCTGCGTCAGACAGCGTAAATATCAGGAGTTAACGCGAAGTATATATCAGGATGTTGTATTAGTCAACGAGCGAGCAAAAAGTCTTTTTCAGTACAACTAAACAAAAAATGTTCAATGAGTTGTTACATACATCAACACAATACAGTGAAATAAAATGCTACATAAGTCCCTCCCCAGAATACAGATATAAGAGGGAATATCTGTGTTCGATATAAAATATTATGAGAAAGGTAAATTCATTTTGAAGATATTAAAAACATAGAAGGAATGTTAAGGATATCTATTATCAGGATGAAAACTGATTGGAAGAGTGTTTACATAAAAATGAAGTGTATGACATTCGAAACACTAAAATAACTTTACCAAAGTAATAATATATCCGGAGATAAAAAAATTAACAACCAAAATCGTATTACCTGGAACATTGTTAAGAAATAAGAGATTCGGAAGTCCGTGGTGCCCGGGAAAAAAATTTTGTTTTGTGTATGCGGAAAAGTCTGACAAAATCGTGTGGTCATGTTTTCAACAAGGTAATGAGCAAAAACGATAATAATGTTACTAGGGAATTGGTTTTATGAAATGTAAATTGTCTGAAAGTAACGTCGTGGCCAACGGACTCTTCTTCCGGATCTCGTGGTTCTGCTACCGTCGCTATTATTGGGTGATTCCGATGCCGTTGTTTCTGTTTTGATGGTGGTTTTCAAAAAAAACGGTTGCTTCACTGCGGGTTCAGACTTGGTATCCGTGACATCTGGTTCCATAAACGCTGGTTTGACTCTATCAATGCTGACCGTTTCTCGTCTACCCGAGCGTTCGACCGTGACAACTTTGTCTGATTTACTAATTACCTTGAAAGGTCCTTCATACGGGGGCTGTAAGGGTTTTCGTACGCCGTCGTGTCGGACGAAAACGTGAGTGCAGTTTGAGATGCACTGAGGTACGTAAACTTGGTTGTCTCGGTATCGTGGGGACTGAGGTCGAAGTGTGCTCATGTGTCGCCGTAGTTGTTGTACATAGTTAGTCAAGTCCGGTGGAACGTCTGTTGCCGGGTTAAAATACTCTCCTGGCAATCTTAAAGTAGTTCCATAAACTAACTCAGCAGTACAGCAGCCAATGTCCTGCTTGACACTCGAACGTATACCAAGGAGTACTAGTG